TTATTCAATCCATTCCGATCGAAATAAAACGAATACGAATTCTGATTTTCCTCATCAAAATTCACCAAAATTTCGGCACTTTTTGAATTATAACGAAGCGGACAAAATTGAAGACAGTATACTGGGATTTTTACATTTTTCACCAATTCGTAGTTCTTTTTGCATGTCGCAGAGAATTTCGCTCTGAAAAAAAATTGAAGAATTTGATTTTGAAATTTTTGAAAAAAATACCGTAAACCCTCTAATAGATATGCCCCCACACTGTCAAGTTTGAGCTTAGTTATCTAAGCTCCTATAAGAGATATCAAAAAGTATTCAACTGATAAAATATTGCTGATATCCTGATAAACATTTGATTAGTTGAACACTTTTTGATACCTCTCAAAGTGACCCAGATAAATTGACTGATCTACAGTATCCGAAATATGATATGATATTTGACCTGCTGAGGGTCCTATAACTTTAAGCCAATTTATCTCATTTTCTGTGAAAGATGTCAAAAAGTGATCAACTGATAAAATGTTGCTGACATCATGATAAACATTTTATCAGTTGACAAATTTTTGATATCTTTCAAAGGAACCGAGAAAAGTCCTTTTTCTAAACATACCGTATACCTGTGCCCCCTCCCACTCTCCCTACTTGACAATTTGAGCTCAATTATCTTGGTTCCTATAAGAGATATCAAAAATCTGTCAACTGGTAAAATATTTTTCATATTATAAGCTGCATTTTATCAGTTGACAATTTTTTTTATCTCATATGGGAGCTGAGATAATTGAGCTCAAACCGCGAGTGTAGGGTGGGCTTTGATTAGAGGGATCGGGGCGGGAAACGGTAGTTTTATTTTCACGTGAAAATTCAAAAATCAGATCACAATTTACACAGTGAAGATCGTGGAAATGAAAAAAAAAATCTGAAAATCTCCCAAATTTAGATCTGTTCATTTCTCAAGCAAATTCGAAAAATTCGATTTTCGTATTAATCGGAGATGAATCAAAAAGCAACAATGACACAAATACCGCCCCCAGGGGGACATCATCAAGCGGATCCGAATAAGTAAGGGCTGAAAATCAATTATCGACTTTTTTCCAAAAAAACATTTTCCAGAAAAATCCTACACCGCATCGAAGACATCGTCCACTCCGACGCCGACACCTTCCCAGAATTCTCGAATCGCGATGGGTCCAAAGAATCGTTGGATTCCAAACACTGGCAATTGATAATGGTCCGAGTACCTGATCATCCAAATGAAACCCATATTAAGATGATAAACGAGGCGATTAGCAACGAAATGCGTGCCACGTGGAAGACTCCGCCCACTTCTTTCGCCTACGTCTCCGCGCCGCACATTCCAATTCTTCAGTTGGCTCATGGAGTGGCAAAGAAGCATTTCGGGGATAAGACGGCGTTGAGATCAAGCTTTTTCTTCGCGGAGCCCAAGAATGATAAGGTAGGTCAAAACGATTTTGAATTTAGGGGAAAAGGAGCTTCAAAATCAGTATGGTCATGGATCCTCTAACTAAAGGGAAACTTTGCCTCAATTTATCTGGGTTACTGTAAGAGATATCACAAATGTGTCAACTGATAAAATGTTTATCAAAAATTCACAAATATTTTATTGGTTGACAAATTTTTGATATCTTCTACAGAAAATAAGATATATTTGCTTAAAGTTGACAACGGTATGTAGGCCAATTGGCATTTTCAGCTTCCCACGCCTCTCGAGGATGTTTCTCCCCAGGAATTGATTTTCTAAAAAAAATGTCAACTTCAAAAATTTAGCTCTATTTTTGTTTTATGTTCTCTGAAACTTTCAAAAAAATCTGAAAATATTGACCTACTTTTGTAGAGGCCTGAACATTGTTCTACATACCTACCTATCTAGCTATCATGACAACAAAGTTTGAGCCCGTATATCTCAATTCCTGTAAAAGATATCAAAAATCTGTCAACGGATGAAATATTACTGATTTTATGATAAACATTTTATCAGTTGACAAATTTTCGATATCTCTTATAGGAACCAAGATAATTAAGCTCAAAGTTGACAGTAGTCATGTTTATACTCATTTTGTAGCTCTTAGCCTCTAATATCCAAAAATCAAGTTTAAAATTCCAGTTCATGATTGCCAAAGACGCGGAGCTCAAAAATCTGAAATACGAGGTAATCCTAGGTGCAAGCCGATTCACCTGGGCCAAGCCAGAGACCCAAGCGGACATGGTGAAGCGTGTTGAATCGACACTTATGGAGTGCGCGGACATCTGGATGCACAGAGTTACAGACGTTTATTTTCAGATTGATGCGCGTGCTTCCAAATCTCGTCTTGTTTCTCGGTCCCATCGCATTTGACGTTCTCTACGAGAGGCTGGAAAAACAAAAGAGAAAATCGATAAACACGCAGAAGCCAGGAGTGATTGTGGAAAATTTCAAACGGGACAACAATCAATGGAAACGAATTCAGAAGCATAGAGCGACGTCGATATCCGTTCCGTTGTGTTAGAACTTGATTTAGAACTCGATAAATAAAACATTTAGTATTTTTTAAAAGTCATTAATTTTGGGTCTTTTCACTTTAGGATGACTATTAGAGTGCCACTCAAACCGTCAATTTTGAGCTTAGATATCTCGGTTTCTGTAAAAGATATGAAATAGTAGTCAACTGATAAAATGTTTATCATAATATCTTTCTTATATATAAAACGCTAGAGGCGTCTGTCCGTCCCGGTGTCCGTCTGTGGGCTTTTTGAGTTTTTAAATAAGAGATATATTCTAAACATACCGTACACATGTGCCCCCCTCCCATGAACTTGTTAAATAACTTTGAGCTCAATTATCTCAGTTCCTACAAGAGATATCAAAAAATTTACAACTAATAAAATGTTCCCAGATAATTGAGCTTAAACTTTGAGCCTCATAGTGCATATACATTTGGAAGCCGAGTAAAAACGAAAAATCCAAAATATGAGTTTTCATCAAAATACATAAAAGAACACAATTATAAAAATAAACATTTTTTCCAACAAAATAACAAATTTCGTTTTTTCAAATTTTCAGATTTTTCAGACAAATTTCCAGATTTGGAATGAGCTCCAACAATTTCTGATTGACTACTGTGAATTTGGCGAAATTGTCGATTCCACAAAAAATTCCCAGTTTTCCGTTCTCGCCGAAAATGAGAAAATATTCAGCCGAGTCGTTGGTTTGGATTTCGTTGGTTCTGAAAACTAAAAAAACCTACAAAAACTACAAAGACTACAAAACTCACGCTTCTTCAAAAATGCTTCCATCCAATCCTCGAATTTTTATATCCAAAAGTAACTTTTCGGTTTTCAGTGGTCGTGTGACATTGGTAACAATTAGCCATTCGAATGTATCAGCGAATCCTCCGAAAATCCACTTCTAAAAAATATTTTCAGTGGAGCGCATTTACTGAGTAGCCAAAATTTAGGTCAATTTTAAACTCATTTTGAAGATCTCATTTTCAACAACTCAACACTTTTTTCAAAATTAAATTCTAACAACAACCGACCAAGTTACGAATGGTTTTCGGTGGAGCGCATTTTCTCACAAAATCAAAATTTTCTCAAAAGTAGGTCATGTTTATACTCATTTTGAAGCTCTCTTTCTCAAAAACTCAAAAATTGAAATTTCATTTGACTTGGCTGACAACTAACTGAGTTACGCCTATTTTTCGGTAGAGCGTGTTTTCTCACAAAATTAAAGTTGTTGAAACCAGGTCGTGATTATACTTATTTTAGAGCTCTCATTTTTAGAAACTCAAAATTCTTAGTTTCATTCAATTTGAACTGAAACTAACCAATTTACGCGTGTTTTTCAGTAGAGCGCATTTTCTGACTAAAACGAAAATTTCTCAAAAGTAGGCCATGTTTATACTCCCTTTGAAGCTCGAATTTTCACCAATTCAATGGTTTATTTCAAATTGAATTCAGACAAAAACTATCGAAGCTATGCTTGTTATTCGGTAGAGCGCACGTGCTCACAAAATCGAAAGTTATCGAAACTAGGCAATGATTATACTTATTTTGAAGCCCTTTATCTCAGCAACTCAGTATTTTTTTCAAAAACGAGTTAAGACAAAAACTGACTGAGTTACGGCTGGTTTTCGGTAGACCGCATTTTCTGACCAAATCAAAAGTTCTAGAAACTAGGTTGTGATTATACTCATTTTAAAGCTCTCAATCTCAGAAACTCAAAGATCTTAGTTTTATTCAATTTGCGCAACAACCGAGTGAGTTGAATCTAAAAATGTATTACCTTTACCAACAAATTGAAACCTTGCTCATCTTTAACATTGTTCATCTGAATTTGTTTGGAATTCAAATTTTCCAAATTCTCATGACCAATTCCATCATAACCGGTCAGTTTCAATGTGGATTGTGGGTTGGAGAACTGAAAATTTCAGAAAAATTTCAGATTTTTTTCTCGACATTTCAAAAAATCTTACATGTTCATGACCCAAAATTTTATCCCAATGATCTGACATGAGCATGAAATTTATTCCGTTATCATTTTCCTGGATGATATCCAGCCAGGCCGGAATTGCAGAATTTGCGCGGTCTGAAAATCGAAAAAAAAATGAAATTGAGTTTTTGGGTTACTGTAGATTTACTGTACTTATCCGAAAAGCTGAATGTTGACAGTTCCAGAGATGATGGGATTTTTCCATTGTAGTCACCCTGAAAATTTTGAAATTCACAAATTCTGAAATTTAAAAAAAAGTTGAAACTTTCTTTAAATCCTTAATTCTTGAAAATTTTGAAAATCAATTTTTTTTTCAATTTTTTAATTTTATGGTAAATGTAATATTTTTAGGTGTAACTGTGTCAATTTTTGTGCAAACCGACGGAAATTGAGATACTTGAATTTCTGAGAAGGAGAGCTTCAAAATGAGTATAAACATGACCTACTTTCGAGAAATTTTCGATTTATTCAGAAAATGCGCTCTACCGAAAAATAGGCGTAACTCTCTCAGTTTTAGTCAAAATTAAATTTTGAAAAAATGCGTTGCTGAGATGAAGAGTTTCAAAATGAGTATAATCATGACCTGGTTTCAAAATTTTTCGCTTTTGTGAGCAAATGCGCTCTACCGAAAAACAAGCGTAACTCAGTTAGTTTATGTCTAAATTCAAATTTGAAACAACGGCCGAGTTGCTCAGATAAAGAGCTTCCATATGAGTATAAACATGACCTACTTTTGAGAAATTTTCGATTTAGTTAGAATGTGCGCTCCACCGAAAACCATTCGTAATTTGGTCGGTTGTTGTTAGAGTTCAATTTTGAAAAAAAGAGTTGAGTCGTTGAATATGAGAGTTTCAAAATGAGTATAATCATGACCTGGTTTCAAAATTTTTCGCTTTTGTAAGAAAATGCGCTCTACCGGAAAACAAGCGTAGCTTATTGGATTTTTGTTCACATTGAATGCAATTAACTATTTTGAATTGCTGAAAACGAAAGCTTCAAAATGAGTATAAACATGACCTTCTTTTAAGAAATTTTCGATTTGGTCAGAATGTGCGCTCTTCCGAAAAACACGCGTAATTTGGTCAGATTTAGTCCAAATTGAATGAAGCTGAGAATTTTGTGCTTCTGAAAATGAGAGCTTTGAAATGAGTATAATCATGACCTGGTTTCAAAATTTTTCGCTTTTGTGAGCAAATGCGCTCTAAAGAAAACCAGCCGTAACTCAGTCAGTTTTTGTCTTAACTCGTTATTGAAAAAATACTGAGTTGCTGAGATAAAGAGCTTCAAAATGAGTATAATCATTGCCTAGTTTCGATAACTTTCGATTTTGTGAGCAAGTGCGCTCTACCGAATAACAAGCATAGCTTCGATAGTTTTTGTCTGAATTCAATTTGAAATAAACCGTTGAGTTTGTGAAAATTCGAGCTTCAAAATGAGTATAAACATGGCCTACTTTTGAGAAATTTTCGTTTTAGTCAGAAAATGCGCTCTACTGAAAAACACGCGTAAATTGGTTAGTTTCAGTCCAAATTGAATGAAACAAAGAAGAGTTTCTGAAAATGAGAGCTCTAAAATAAGTATAATCACGACCTGGTTTCAACAACTTTGATTTTGTGAGAAAACACGCTCTACCGAAAAATAGGCGTAACTCAGTTAGTTGTCAGCCAAGTCAAATGAAATTTCAATTTTTGAGTTTTTGAGAAAGAGAGCTTCAAAATGAGTATAAACATGACCTACTTTTGAGAAAATTTTGATTTTGTGAGAAAATGCGCTCCACCGAAAACCATTCGTAACTTGGTCGGTTGTTGTTAGAATTTAATTTTGAAAAAAGTGTTGAGTTGTTGAAAATGAGATCTTCAAAATGAGTTTAAAATTGACCTAAATTTTGACTACTCAGAAAATGCGCTCTACTGAGAATACTTTTTAGAAGTGGATTTCTGGACGATTTGCTGGCACTTTTGAGTGGCTAATGTTCGAATTTTTCGAAAATTTCTAACTCTTCAAAAACCTAAAAAACTCTGACCCGAATATCCAATAACTCAATTTTGGATCCCATAACCCATCCTTGAAAACACAAATCAGCCATCAGCCGAAACTCCGCCTCCAATCCACGTGGCGAATACACACAATCCAATCCATTCGATTTTATCGTCGTCTTCAACGAATTATTCAATCCATCCGATCGAAATAAAACGAATACGAATTCTGATTTTCCTCATCAAAATTCACCAAAATTTCGGCACTTTTTGAATTATAACGAAGCGGACAAAATTGAAGACAGTATACTGGGATTTTTACATTTTTCACCAATTCGTAGTTCTTTTTGCATGTCGCAGAGAATTTCGCTCTGAAAAAAAATTGAAGAATTTGATTTTGAAATTTTTGAAAAAAATACCGTAAACCCTCTAATAGATATGCCCCCACACTGTCAAGTTTGAGCTTAGTTATCTAAGCTCCTATAAGAGATATCAAAAAGTATTCAACTGATAAAATATTGCTGATATCATGATAAACATTTAATTAGTTGAACACTTTTTGATACCTCTCAAAGTGACCCAGATAAATTGACTGATCTACAGTATCCGAAATATAATATGATATTTGACCTGCTGAGGGTCCTATAACTTTAAGCCAATTTATCTCGTTTTCTGTGAATGATGTCAAAAAGTAATTAACTGATAAAATGTTGCTGACATCATGATAAACATTTTATCAGTAGACAACTTTTTGATATCTTTCACAAGAAGTGAGATAAATAGGCTCAAAGTAGACGGTCCGGGTGGCGTTCTATTAGAGTGTTTACGGTACTCTGAAATTTTTTAAAGCTTTCATTCAAACTGTAAAAAAGTGAGAATTTGCAGGATTTATAAATTTTCCAAGTCATTGAAAATCTTAAAATCAAAAAATAAAGAAATTCTAAAAAAAAAGAAAAAAATAGTTTTCCGAATTTTACAAATTTTTCATAGATATTCAAATTTTCGAACTTTTTTCAGTTTTTTTTGTAATTCGAAAATTCTTGGATTTTTCAAATTTTTGAACTTTTCAGCTTCTGAATTTTTCGAATTTTCGAAATTTCTG